AAGAAGAACTGGTTCGAGATGTATTTACGTTGAGGTTAATTGGACACATGTTTAAAGATTACTTTCGAATGTATAGAAAATGAGAGATCTCGAGATATTTATAGTGCATTCGATTGAATTTGATTCAAACGACAAAGCAAGTGTAACACTTACTGTATAACTACAGTAAACAATAGTAGACCGAGGCGAATCGGATCATTTTCTATTTTGATAGTACAAAAATAATAGTCAAAGTTTAGACAGCTAATTATTTATTATAGATTCGTAATTAGTACACATTTATCTTAAACAGTTATAATAAAGAAATTTAAATAAACTTAAAAATCTTTCTTTTGCAAACAAAATCGAAAAAGCGAGAAGTATCTGAATCGCCCCAAAGTTGGGGCGAATCGAATAATCCAGAAATCACTAAAACAAAGCTGAAATTTACATAAAAAATGTCTTTAAATTGCTTTATAAAAATTTAATTTAATGATAATGGTCATAAGTATAGTGTCTTTTAACACCACCTCTATCAGCACAATTCTCGTCATACCACCCTTCGCAGACATTGCACTGTATCGAATCTTCTTTCATTTTTCTGGACACCATGAACCTTGATTAGTTTTTTTTAATGTTCTTACGAACCATCTGTATATAAATAATTATCACACTTATAATCATAGAAATATTCAAACGAAGAAAAAGAGTGATCCGATTCACCCCAAATGACGTGATCCCATTAGCCCCATACATAAGGATTTTAAATTGAATAGGATACATAGACGAATTATGATATAATAATCTAAAGTATATGAAATACCAAATTTGGACACTATACAAACTAATAATACTAAACACATTTGAATTTTCAAGCTTACCTTTTTATTTTAAATATGAAATTGTAGATTACGTATCTCAGATTCGTATCAAAATTATTACGTTCGCACGCGTTCGTCTCAATGGCAACATGTGCTAGCACTAAATAACTACGTAAAACAATTGATGAGTTATTGGATTGGATGTGGGGGATAAAAATGACGCAATATGAACAATCGAAATGTTCGTGTCCATGAGAATATAAAAAATATGGACTGAATTCTTATTTTGATCTGATTAGTCTCGGTCTACCCTAAATGTATTGGATTTCGGATTTAGGGCATATTTCATGTACCAACATAGAACGATTTCAATGATTCTTGAATATGTTGTCGTGGGCATAGTTCTGAACAACTTTTTCCTTACATACAATCGACGGACGGTCCTAGTTTTCGAGAGATTCGTATAAAACTATCGGTACCACTACAGTGAATTCAGCCTATAATTGTACCGGTGATTATGGAAGTGATTTAAATCGTGTATCTTTCGTTTCGAATATTCTTTCATAATATAAAATAGGAGAAAAACTCAACTTTCTTAGTTCCTTGACTTACACCACTTTTATAATCACCGGCACAATTATAGCTGCTTCAAAGATATAGCGTTAACCATAAACGTGGTTAACGCTATATCTTTGAAGCGAATTATCAGAGTGGTACGCCACTTTCAGCTATGTTGTGCCAAGGAATAAAACGAAAAAGACTGGAATATTTGAAAGAAATTTACGTTTTCGTAAGCTTTCATCAAGAATAAAACGGCCACAAGTATTTTAAATTTGAAATTAGTACGCTAGAAGAACTTGTTTAATTACATTAGAACGGAAAAACCGACCCCAAATTGACGTCGTACGCCCCTGAACGATAATCGAGCACAGTTTTTACAACTCAAGGGTATCGAGTGACAGAATTAGGCTACCGAAATACATAAACTTTAGGGTCGGTCGGGTTTATGGCTAACGCAGTATCTTTGAAAAAACTATACCTATGCGTCCGTAACAGCGTCCGCGTTAGGATTGATTTACGACCATTGATTAAGGCCAGCCATGATTATTGGGCCGTCCTATAAGTCCTTACCGAGTTCGTTCTGTTTGGAACGTGTTTGTCCTTAAATCAAAGCAGTCCCGAAAAGTTTTCAGAATCTGCGAATCTGTGCGCGAATCTTCCGCGTAATTGGTACAAATTACGAGAACGAAAACGAAAATGGAGAAACGTCAACTGCGCGCTATTATGTTGTATGAGCACCGGCTTAACACCTCTTCAACGGAGACGATAGTAGCGATCGAACAGCACGCTTCTGATATAAGTGCCTCAATGAGGACGATATAAGGTGTAAAACCAACCCCACTCTGGCCAGCTACCTTCGACAAAGACGCGACGAAATCGAGCAGCACCCGGATTCCAGCACGCGAAATTCGGAGAATGCTTTTCGGCAACCCTATATAACCATCGATCGCCAAATTCGATGGTCTACCGCAAAGTGATGTCGCGATGGACGCCTCACGCGTTGATCGATCATGACATAGCCACTCCTGTCAGCATTTGTCAAAGTTTGTTGCTACGCTAGCACCAGCAAGTCTTTTTTAAGGAAATTATCACTGGAGATGGAAGCTGGGCACGCTACGAAAATGATACATGCCACGTCTTTAGGCTTCCTCGCAGGGAATGCTCTTCTGGAAACTTCTGAAGCCTAACCAGACGACCAACGCCAACCGTTACAGGGACCAGCTAGCTAGCCGATGCCATGCGAACAAAACGGCCAATACGACTTGGCGTTTAGCTTCTTCACGACAACGCTCAACATCAATGCGCAAAGTTGACGCATGAGCAGCTCTAGGAGCTAGGATGGTCTACTGTACCCCATCTACTGTGCAGCCCAAACATTGCACCTTCGGACTTTCACTTGTTCGGAGCTCTTAGACGAAATTTGTTGGGCAAGAAGTTTGACAACTACATCACCTTCAAAAAGTATATTGGTGACTTTTTTTGCCTCCCAGCGCCGATCTTTCTGGGAAAAAGGCATTCAAAACTTTCCAAGCAGACAGCTGAATGTTATTGACGGTGATTATATCGTAGAATAGAAAGTAAGTTTTTATAAATACAAAATGAAAATAAAACTGGTTGAAAATGGCAAGAACTTATGGGACAGCCCGGTATATTGATATGATTATACATATTATATGCTTGTACTGGGATGTGTTTCTATGTCTGATCTGAGTTGGTTGGAGCTAGTTAAAAAACAAAAAAGAGTACTGTTGAAAGCATTATCCAACTTAAATCAGTATACTACTTTCAGACTTTAAGGGAGAAACCACCCTTTTTATCCGAAACGTCACTTTTACTTATTCGCTTCTAACTCGTAAACTGCAAAAGATATCGAAAAAAAGTTTATATAAATTCTATATTGTTTTTAATTTATTATTTATCTGAAACTTACCTAAACTTTTTTTTCGATACCTTTTGCAGTTTACGAGTTACAAGCGAATAAATAAAACGACCGCTTTGGATAAAAAGGGTGGTTTCCCTGTTAAAGTCCAACGTAGTCAACTAGTTAAGTCCGTTAAAGTAGCACCAATCAAGTAGTAACAGCAAAATTCTTAGATTGATCCCACGAACAATTGAGTAAAGTTATAGAAAAATCGGCGCGTGTCACTTCGTGAACATCCTTTCTGAGATAATCGAGGTTGTGAAGTAACACATTGTTTCTTGAACGAATCATTTGCATATCGAGCAATGTTTACTCGGAATCAGCTGTGTAACGAGCAAATCCGTCCATGAAGGAGTGATTTCCAAATAAATGACACTTCCGTCGTGGGATTTTGTGGCCGAAGGCACGAGTAAAAGGCAACTACTTAATCCAAAAAGTTCTCGGGGCTAATGTTACGCTGACTAGACAGTCAGGTGCCCATGTCAGGAAAGTAGCCTCCGTGGAAAAAGAAGCCGAGGACTATACAAAAAAGCGTTCATCGTTGCTGGATCCTCTCGCATCCGTCCAGCCGGAGATAACATAGTGAATGGACACCGGACAACCCCTTCCTAACGATCTTACACGGATGAGTAACGAACGGCTACGAGTATCGAGTGAAACGTAAAAAGTATATCCTGCTTAATAACCGTACATCCTTCGTGTATTCTCTGGCCATCTCTCGTAATATCAAGGCCTCGTCCAGCCAATTACCCCGCGTGAAAGAAAGAAAGCAACGCCCGATAAGTGTTTACCGCTACCATATACCATACGTTGTTCTAGTTTCATATGGATTTGTTTGCAAAAACGATTTGAGGACGATGAAAAATTCATCAGTACAAAATGTGGATCAAGACGAAAACGTGTTGGACGTACGGATGAATCGATACAAGTAAATACGAATACATTATTCGATACTTTTGTTTCGATACGTACGGTTGCGATACCAAGTAGGTATCGAAAAAAAAGTACTTGTATCGAATGGAGTGAGCATCGACCCATCAACATTTGATATTGTAATTACTTTCAACACAAAACAACGTTGTTTATATTAATAATTAAGCAATGTGTATTCAAATATTTTCAATATTAAAATAATATAGGTATATATGGTTAGGTGTGAGCTTCTGAAAATGGTATTTTCAAATATAGAACAAGTTTTCCTGCATTGTTTCCTGTAGCATATCCATCTACCATCTACGTTATATTTGACATAACCTTGTTCAATATGCATGCTACCTCCGCAATGAAATATTTTACTACTTAAATTTAGCAAACTTTACTTCACTTGCGCAGTCATGGACTGTGTTTTTCGTTTCAGTTTCTATTAACTATTTCATTTAATTTTACCATTAATAAATGAATTATTTATGTTACTGATGAATCTTTATTTATTCCTTTGTTTTTACAAAAATAAGGGGATTTCCCATTTTTCTATGTACAACATCATTGTCATGTTATATATTCTATATTTTACTGGATTTATTTTTGCAATGTACTTAGAAAGATGGATTAGTTTGGTTTGTCTAGACATTTTTGGGGCCGCCTTACGTCGCAGATCTTATGCCCCAAGTTGAATATTTTCAGAATATTTTCAGCAAATTACATGGATCCTTATCTAAATGTTTCTATTTTAAATTTTATTGATTGATCCAGTTTGTGTTACAGTAAATAAAACTCACATTTTTCGGTGGTGCACACAGCCGGCTGAAAGTTTGGAATCATGCAGTCACCTAAAAGAAATAAAAATTTGATTGTTAAACGAGTTATCATTCACTCACGAAAATAGACAATGGGTGTAACTAATGGTTTTTAAAAATATTACTACCTAGTCGTAATTCTTTGATTTCTACGCCCTGTGTCATACTTATAACCTCCCTATAAATCCGCATTCATCTCCAATTTAAAAAAGGATAATTAGTATTTTTTAAAAGAAAAAATGTGCGATGAAGGGTATCTTGTCAGTAAGTTATGAAAAATAAGACTACAGCAACCAAAGACAAGTGCAATTCGACAAAATAGAAGAGTCGAAATACGATATTAGGTATAAGGATATACAGATTTATAGTTTACCAGAGTATTTGGTTGTAAGGAGAAAGCAAAGATAGTCAAAAGCTAATAGCGAAGGCAAGATGTGGGATTTTAGAAGGATACAATTGATACTGGTTAGAGGATAGTGAGCGGAGATGCGAAATATGTAATAAATATTACATGTTATTACATATAAATTATTACTAATAATGGTAGGGGTACGCTAAAACATTTGTTAGACGACTGTTGTGGATTGGAAAGAGGGAACTGCACGTTAGAGGAAGTATTATGTGGAAGGAAAAGTAGTAGAGTGGTTAGAAAATTGGTAGAAAGTAAAATAAGGAAACTTAGAGAAGAGAAAGAGTGATAGAAGAGGATAGGTAGAATAAGGTGTGGAATATGTCTAAAGAATGGAAGAATGAATGAAAGCAATGTAACATAAATTGTAAACCAAGTCCATTCCATGGCCTTGAGACTGCAATTATCAATAAATATATAAATAGTATTTTTACAAATTTAATCCAACATAATGAGAAAGTCTATACAAAAAGACTTTTTCTTGAAACATTGAAATATGCAACAATTTTTCCAACAAATTTCACAAATCGACATATATTATTCCATACTTACAACGCACATAGAAATTTTGAATTATTTCCACGTAATGAAAAAATATCCCACAAAACATGTATAATCGTAGAAGATAGCAGTTATGTACTATAATTTTTGTAGAAATTATTTTGAAGCACTGTTGATCAGTAATAAATACTGAGTTGTATGCAGGTTGTAAATATGAAACTGAGTATATTAATGATTATAAATGAATATTCTTCAATGCTGTGATCAAGAAAAGTGTATCATAGGTATACAATTAATTCCATTATTACATTAATACTAATTGCATATAATTAATATTCTTAATCATATTTAATTATTGGAAACCAGAATATATGAATGCCAACAGCCGTCAACTGAAAAATTAAGACCGGTTTACAAAGAATTTTCCCTTTGAAAATAAGCCTTTATCTTTTCCTTCTGAACATATTAACACGTGCAGCCTTCAAAGTCGAAGAAAAACATAATAATCAAGACGATTAGCCACTTTGGATATGATTAGAATTATTTATAATGAATTAATTGAATTAATAAAGATTAGATATAATAAAAAAATATAACATGTGACGCAATAAAATATTATAATATACGATTTATTTCCATATAATATACGCTTCATTTCTTTGCTAGAAAATCATGAGCAATACCTATTATAAGTTAAAGAAAATGTATTACAAGTTTAAACTTTTCATACTATCGGTAGGTAACAGAAATTCATTTATATTCCACACACATTAAACATTCTTCATATACTTTGAGATAGTAATTCATGAAAATGACACTTTATTTTACGATAAACATGACGAAACATCAGATAATTTGTTACACAGGGGAAAAAATGTATTTTACTAAATGTTCTGAAACATTTTTTCCAATGAATCATAAATCAAATATATTACAATTTTAGTTAAACAGTTAGTTTAGATAAGTCTTTTAGGTCGAACGTATTATTCAATTCTGGTATTGGAATTTTGGTTACTTGTAGATAAAAGAATTCAGAGTTTTTTATATGGAAAACAGTTTTTCTCAACTCCGACCCCAATTAATTTACGAGCTTCGTTTAAAGGTAATTGAGCATCTATATCGTGAGAAACACTTGCATCGTTTATATTTAGCAAGACAAAAGGGATAAGTGGGTGAAAATGCGTTTGGAAACGTGCCACTGTTTCATGTATCACGAGTAACGAGAACGAATGGCCTGCGAAATCTGGCAAGATAATCGGAACGTCAGGAAAATATGGGAGCTGCTAAACAGAGATTCAAGATCAAATGCCAACGACTGAAGGGTATTATTAAGACTTATGTAGAAATTAGTTTCTACAGAGTAGAAACGCTTATTCTATTTCTCGAAACGATACAAATGACTCGCTTGAATAATTATCTTAACAGTACTTAATATTTTTAATAGTATTAACACTTTATTAGTAATATTCAATAATATTGGTATTATTAATTTTGCTTAAATAATAAGCCAAACTATTATTGCAAAATTATATATTTATTATTTATGGAAATATGTTGCATTACTCAATTCCGAACTGACTATAAAATTAGGACGACCTTATTATAACGAGGTGATAATACAATAATACATAATCATTGTGAATTCAAGCAGGTTTATTTTTGTAATTTTTGCTAAATGTTAACTTAACCATACAACCGCAACAAAAAGAAAACTGTGGTCGATTGGAAAAAATTGATAGATAGTGACTCTTTTTTACAATTTACAAATTGGAATCAAAAAGCATTGCAATTAAAAGCACTGGACGGATAGTAATTAGCGGAATGATATTTTTCATTTCAATGCACGGAAATAATGTTGGTTTATATGTAACAATAAATATAAATTTGAACACTGAAAACGATTAAAGATTAATGGAAATTGTAAATCTATCTTTAATGCTAATGACTTTCTCAATCTTAATACTTTCAACGCCTTAATAAAGAATAATCAAACAATATCAGCATTTTCAGTTAACGTTACTACGAGTAAATATAGAAAGAAACTATTGAAAATTCTGTACATCGAAAATAGCAAGTAACTCAAATATCTGACCTTTAAACTATAAACACAACATTATTATTAAGTGATATTACCGACAAAAATTATGAAAGCAGATAGCATAGTAAGTTGTCACATTTAAGAAGTACTGTAAATTGTGATTTTACATATGTTTCGTTCTTTTCTATTATTTATTATACATGCATAGCTCTGGTAAGTTATCTTGCAAAATTCTCTTTATGTATATTTTACGTCGTGTTAGAAAACGTGTTTCAAATGTTGTTTTATTCACAATCACCTGTTACATATTTATGTCGCCATTTTCTAATACAAGATAAAGCATACAAACCTTGACGTGTTGAGCTGTATATAAACACACACAAGGTCAGTGCAAACGTCTTGATAAAATGTTCTTAAATCTAAAAGAGAAATAACTGCTTTATAAGATAATTTGTTTGATCAAGTATATAACCCCCATTGTTTACAATAACCTCTTCCCTTCCTCTAATGGCATATACTGTGTTCAGATTGTTGCTCGGATTTTATGCATTTATAGCTCACAGGGCTCTGTAAAATACAATAAAAGACAAAACTTTCATCGGATCCAATGAGTTTTCTATTTTAGTCCGAACCCAATAAGATACTTAAGAAGAAAAATAAATTTCTACAATTACTTTAGAAAATTTTGCATAAAAATCCGCAGTCTACTTATAATATTTTCCAAGATTTTTAAACCTGCACATTACAAACGTATCGAGATTTTTACAATGACCCAAACATTCACGACAAAATAATATACACACGAGTATGTACTACCACTTTCTCTAAACAAGTGAAAATTAAAAAAAAGAAGAAGGAACTACGACAAATAAAGTAATTAGCAATTTCAGGAAGCGACAGTCAACTGTAAGAGGGGCACTCGAACGGCATAATTGGAGGAGGACGTTCCGAGTCGCCACGCGGCGATCACGAGCTACGAGGAGCGGGAGGAGGGGCACAGGACACAAGGGCGAACCACCCCACGTTGCAGCCCGTTTCCCTATGCAGCCACGTGGTTAAGAAATCCTTAAATGCGCCAGGTCACGGAATCCCTTATACGGAAGGAGAGTGGGGTTAAGAAGAGAGAAAAAAAGGGGGGGAGGGAAAGGAGGGTGACCAGCCACTCCATAACTCGTGCAGCACACGAGCGAACCGATGCACATGCTCGATATTCCCATGGATTCCTTGCCTTATGGCGGCCGCTGCGCCGCGGGACAGCGTAGGTCCGGTCTTCCCCGTACCCTTTTCGCCCCCTCAACCGTTGCACTCCTCTCTTTCCAAACACCACGAGATTTCCCCCTCGTGTGCGGACCACGAGCACGGCGTGTGTAGGCACGCACATGTCCCGAATTCCCACAGTCCCGAGGCATCGGCGTCACCTTGTGAGACAGCCACGAGAAAAGGCGAAGGATGCGCCTGCCGTAACGTGTCCCCCCCCCCCTGCCCCGCCGCCTGCCATCACTAGTTCGTCGTCGCGCCATGACGCGCGTGCGCGCGCAACTACTGCACACACACCATACGAGATAGCGTGCACATAATACATATGTATCCGCCAGAATGATACGACGCACCGCGCGTACTACGTGCACGCGCGTCCATTTGCCGCGCTTTTTCGAACGGGAGCTCTCTCTTTTCAAAACAACCTCCGCGCACCACTCCGGTAAAGTGGTTTTTTGTTTACCCGACCCACATGTGCCGGTTCGAATGCCACTTCCGAGGATCGTGGAATCTCAGGTGTAATTCGACGGTTGATGACTAGGGTAAATGTCCCAATTACTGCCACCCTAAGATTGTAGCGTAATTTCATTTAATCACTTTACGTGCTATTTAACCTACAAATCGTCTCACGTTGAAATATAATGTTTTACATATTAAATTTGAAGAATTAATCAATAATGAAATAAAATTCGCGAGTAATTCCAGTGTCCCTATAACTGTCACCACAAAAATTAAAGTAAAGTTTCTTTACTTTAAAAATTCATTTTGTACAATAGATGCAGGTTGAATAGTAAAATTATGGCTACTTATTTAGTATGATTTCGTCAT